TACATTCCCAGAACTTCCAGACTCAGTTATACATGTGTCACTAAATCAGAGTCCTGTTCTGCACTTCCAAGGAAAAAGTCACTGGATGTTGCAGTTCATCTTACTGGAAAGGCACGGAGGAGCATCTGTACTTTTTGTTTATTCTGACTCTCATGGCAACGGACGCCTGTGTTGTCCTTTGAGCAGGAACTAAATGAAGTATTCCAGTACACACCGGCGGACACTCAAACAGACACTGAACAGCAACAAGTGTTTAGACATTGGCACATATGTTGCAGACAAAGAATCTGCAAGTTTTAAAAATGTTGTGTCAAAAGGGTAATCTCAGCTCAAAACTAAAGCACAGTTAAAACAGGAATAGAATTAAAGTATGTCTTTTTCTCTTATTTCAGATTGTCTCACTTGTTGCCCCGTGGCTGCGCCCTGACACTTTCATCTGTTCAGCCTTTTTCCCTCCAGCCCTTCATCTCATCTTCCCTCCTCCTCAGTCTGTGGCCTATTTATACCTTGGAGAGTCAAAAGTACCCATTACTGCTCTGCAGAGCTCTTCAGAGACAACCGTGAGCATGAATTCACCAACATCTTATCTGTGTCATCTTCAGCTACTGCACCTTTGCACCAGCGGTCACAGAAAAATGGCTGGAAAACTGTGAAATGCAACAAGACAACCTTTTTGCTGCCCGACTGATTTTTTCCAACATTTTCAGCAGCAATTGGGATTTTGGTGATCTCGGATGCAGCATGTAAAACCAACACAGTTAGACTAGTGGTATTGAGATTTGGGCAAAGAAACTGGATTTTTTCCCCTAAATGGCTCAGAAATGTAAAGGTAAGTCTATTTATGTTAATTGAATTTAAATTTAAATTCTATTATATTTTGCACTTTTTTAGCATCTTGAAGGCGTCCTGTCACTTATCATAAACATATCTTTATCTTTATTTTATCTTATTTTTAATATAATTTATACTTGTCTCCTATAACTGTTGTGTCACCTCTTTGACAGTGTGACTAAAGTTAAGCTGAGTTGAAATAATTGTATTATCTGATGTCACAAAATGTACATATTTTTACTTGTGTATTGCCAAACAGTTTCAAAAGTCATGTAAAACAGGTGAGGAACATAATTTTGATACAAATGCTGCACCTGCCATTTAAGGTCAACAGTAGTAGATTTGACAAATCCATATATAGTAACTTCCGCTTACCAACATAGATAAAAAAAATGGTTATAAAATTAAAAAGTACATTTGAATCAAGTCTTCCTGTAAAAACCTGTTTTTTTTTTTTTTTTTTTTAACTTAGTAATGCACTTCCACCCATGAGTTCACTCCTGGCAGGATGACTGCTGTCTGCCCCTCCGAGAGCAGCCCAGAGGGGACTGAACCTGGGGCACGGACAGCAGAATATAGGGGCTCAGGACGAGCAGACACGGCTGGGAACAGCTCAGTTTCCAGGGCTCAGACAGGGGAGTCTAACGGAGACTCTTCTGGAGGTTCTAATGGAGGCACGGCTGTAGTCACTAGTGGCCAGAGGTACAGCCGCTGGAGCCGCCAGGACAGTTCTGACATCAACACAGACGATGAAGGCGGAACTATCCGCCGCCTTACACCACTAGAGAAGTTGAACCTGGATATGTGCCAGGATGAAAGGTAGGGCTGGGAAGAGTGGGCTTTTCTAAGAAGTTTTTTTCTTTTTGTCATACATAATATCCAGTGCAGCATGTTTTATTCTACTGTAACATGATTGGTCACTGTTGTCCATCTGATCACAGGGTTGTCCGAGATTTAACGATGGGAAGACGAATTGGCTTTTATAAAATTCGAGGAGAGATCGGATGTGGAAATTTCTCTCACGTCAAGTTAGGAATTCACGCCCTCACAAAAGGTAAGACGCATGAAAAAGGAATGGAGTGCAGCCACGTTTAGTTCACCAATAGTAAGGAATGGATCTGCTCAACATGCAGCAGTCATCGTCAAACTGTCACACAGGAACTCACTGTAAACAGTCGGAAGAATGTTGGATTAAAAAAGTCCAAAACCATCAATATCTTGTTTGGATTTAAGTGAGAGTTTGTCTGATTGGCTGTTTTTATCCATCCGTGGCCTGGATGACTAACAAGTGTGTTCTAATGTAGCACCTCACTAACAAGGTGATGTGCTCCTGGCTCTGGGCTGATTCAACCGTGCGAAGACAGATTGTCTGCCGTCCTTGAACAGATGGATTGATTAGAGATCTCCGGTTTCCTTAGTGACGGCGAAAATTGCTGCATGCCTCATCAAAGCCCGGGGAGAGGAGAGAGAACAAGTGTGTGTATGTGTGTGTGTTTGTGTGTGGGTGTGTGTGTGTAATTCTGGTGTAAATACACTGGTGGTACATTTGTAAGGACACCTTGTTCTTTGTGGTGAAGATTTTTAATATAACTCTAGTTAAGGTAGTTAACTAAGAGCATAGTTAAGGTTAGGGGTGGGGGTTGGGGATGCATTTGTTGATGGGAAATGTTCACAAAAGACAAAAACTACAATGTGTTTGTATTTGTTTAGTGTATGCGTGTAGTATTCATAACTACACGCACTAGAGACTGAAATGTTTTTCTCACCAAGATCAACACAAAAGGTTTGGATTTAGTTTCTGATCCAAATGTAAATTGATGAAGTGATACAATTATAGTCTGACCGAACAAATACATGTGAATAACTGCAGAGTCCTCACAAGAAGGCTGTGGGCAAACCTGTTTGGGAGGGTGTGTCGTAGTGTGTTACTGTGTCTGCTTTCTGTCTGTGCACATGTAACATAAGTGGGGCTATTTAGTCCTCCAAAAACAATATGTGCTGTGATGCATTTTCAATGATCAGTGAAAGCCACGTAACGGCTGAAGAGGAGCCTAAGACCAGCCTGAATAATGTATCACTGAAGCACAGTTAGATATCTCGACACCATTTAGCCCCGCCGGAGCAGCAGAGGTATTTATTTATCTCTATGAATCATTCAAAAGAGAATACCCGACGTAGTGTTGGCTTGAATATGAGTGTGAAGTCATTCTGATCTGCTGCAGCTCTGTGAGGCTTATAAAAGGAAGCAATTGGAGTTGGATTTGTGTGGAAATGTTTTTGTTTTTTTTGGAAATGTTTGGAAATGATGAAAAGTCAGCGTTAACTACATTCCCAGTGCATTTGCTTCTAACCTAACAACATTTAAGGAAATCAGACCTTAATGAATGTCTACACAGACATTAGCTGGAGTTTCTCTTCCTTCAAGCCTAATTAGATGTTTTAAACACTCTATGCCAAAGCCATATTTGGAGTTTATCCACTCATCATTTCGTGTCTGTTCATACCTTTTGCCACGACAGAGTTTCCTTTGGTTCCAAAAGGACATCTAATCTTTTCAGATAAAGCCGAATGTGAGGACTTACCCTGGGGAAAGTGCTCAAGAACATTGGTTTCTGGGAGCAACTAATCCTTCGCAAATTTATCTGGTGGAAATCATCAGGGCTGATGACATGTTATTCAGTGTTAGATGATGGAACCAGGCTCACATCGTTAGACTTCATATTTACATCATATGATACTGGCTTTATATACTGCACAAAACTAAAGTCATATTTGGCCTGGCATCTTCCTTGTTTTTCTCCTATTGTCTCTAAATTATATGTAATTTCCTCTATTTTATTACAGGTGTTTTGACTTACAATGGATTTTGGATGTATTACCAAAAGTATAATGCCTAATCAAAAAAATGTGTATCCACTTTAAAGTGCAACTGACCATTTTCTACTCTGACACTAGACAAGGTGGCCATTAAGATCCTGGACAAAACCAAGTTGGATCAAAAGACCCAGAGGCTGCTGTCCAGAGAGATCTCCAGCATGGAGAAGCTCCACCATCCCAACATCATACGCCTCTATGAGGTTTGACTCGTTTTTCAAGTTGAATTAAACCACTGGCCACCAGACCAAATCTCCTCACCATACTATGTAACTGTTTTGTCTCTGTCCCTGTGTCTTCAGGTGGTGGAGACGTTGACACGGTTACACTTGGTGTTGGAGTACGCCGGGGGAGGGGAACTTTACACCAAAATTACCACAGAGGGGAAAATTTCTGATGCTGATTGCAAGATTGTCTTTGCGCAGATTCTGTCGGCTGTTCAACACATGGTCAGGACATATTTATGTATTGCGTTTACAATATACAAAAAGAAATAATGTCATTTACACAAAAAAAGTGTACACCACTGCACACACAACGAAACGAGGTGTAACATCTCAGCCAGTTAACCAGTTTATTTCCACTGAGGATTTGTTTTCTGTCATGCTGTTTCAATTTAGTTAGAATCAAATACTAAATTTCAATGCATAGCTTACATTAAAGCATAACTTCTCAAATAGTGGGGCTGCGGTGTGGTGCCAGGGGGTGCACGAGGCGCCTCCAATGTTATATGGCATGCCTCTACCACTGCTGTTATGCTTGAATGATTACAAGCCTCCAGTCACTAGGTGGCAACAACTCATACAGTAGTTTGTACAGATACAAATATACATTTTATCAGGTTCTCAATAGTATTTCGATTTGTGGGGGTCGGGGCGGCGTGAAAACATTTATGTCCCCAAGTGGGTGCATGTCAGAAATTGAATTGGGAATCACTGGATTAAAGTGTTAATACAATTATTTTCTCCTACAGCATGAAAGCAACATCATACACCGTGACCTGAAGGCAGAAAACGTCTTGTACACTGGCAACTCTTGTGTCAAAGTCGGAGACTTTGGTTTTAGCACTCTGAGCCGCCGCAACGAGACACTGAACACGTTCTGTGGCTCTCCACCCTACGCTGCACCAGAGCTCTTTCAGGATGAGCATTATGTGGGCATATTTGTGGACATCTGGGCCCTTGGTGTGATGCTTTTCTTCATGGTTACCGGCACCATGCCATTCAGGGCAGACACAGTGGCCAAACTCAAGCGATGCATCCTGGATGGAGTCTACGTTCTGCCCTCCTGGGTGCCAGAACCGTGCCAGAGGCTCATCAGAGGAATCCTTCAACCTATCCCATCTGACCGCTGCACAGTGGAGCAAATAATGGGCTGTGAGTGGCTGCTCACTGTCGACTTTCCACGAGCGATGGAGCCCTTCAAGCTCGACCCGTCCTACCTAGCGGAGAACAATCCTGCTGAGCTCCATCAGGAGGAGAAGGAGGTGAAAACAGCACTGGAGATGCTTGGAATAACTTCAGAACACATCCTTAACAACCAGGGGAAAGACTGCAGGAGCTCCATCACTGGGGTGTACAGGATCTTACTCCATCGTACTCATAAGAGAAGGGCTGTGGAGAGTATGTCTGTTGTCACCAAGGTCTCACGAGCAAACACAAGTAAAAAAGAGCGACTAAAGGTGTATCGTAGTTTACGGCACACATCTAAGCTCTGCGTGATTTTGTAAAAAGACTTGATATAGAAATGAATTGATTCACTTATGTCCAGTTGCATGGATTCCAGTAGGAAAAAAACAAGTGCTTTTCAGTGCAGCATTATTCAGTAACTTGAAATCAGGGTATAACACCAGTCTGTTCCCGAAATCTATGATTTCTTACTCTAGTGTCTGTTTTAGTGAATTTAGTCTCTGTGAGAATACTGCTACCAGCAAATCATTATTTTCTCTTTTTTGACAGGGTCATAAAACCAAAAATGTTTTCTTAAGAGATATGGAAGTGTATCATTTAATCATTTAATCTTACATTGTGCTGAAACACTAATAAAAACAATAAGAAAACAATGTAGTGTAAAACTTAAGGAAATTAGAAATGCTCATTTGATTAAGGTGAAGCATGAAGCCAGTAAAAGACTCCTGTTTAAATGCACTTTTTCCTTCGATGCCTTAGTTTTCTATACTGATCACTCAAAATTATATTCTTAATGTGCTCTCCTTTTCCCCTGATGAAAGGCCATATATACACACACACATATATATATATGTACATATATATGTATATATATATATGTATATAT